TTAAAGATGTGACAGGCAAAGTCAGACCTCCTGATTCGAGTGACAGACTAATACTATGATCTCTGCCCAGTCCTGTCACCTCCATAAGATGGGGACACAAGTCTTCATCCCAACACACAAGGAGCTAAATCTGGGCTTAGTCCCACGAGAACAGCTCCGGAGGAAGTCCCGCCATCTTCTCCCGGAATGTTTCCTTGAAGGCTTGGGTCTGGGCTGGGGTGAAGTGGTTCTTCCAGTCCCCCGTGATACCTAGGTCATGGAAAAACAATGACACCAGCCTGGCCAGGGCAGGAAGGCACTGTCCCCTCATGTCCCTTCTGCCCTCTGCCTGCCCTGAGGGTGAGGCCACAGATCTCCCTGGGAGATGGACTCCACAGCCACCACGCTCCATGTCCAGTGCTCTCCTCTCAAGTTCTGCCCCTGCCACCAGAGGGGCACATCCTCCCCAGATGTGTGGGAGTCAGGAAGCTCAGCATGTGGTCTCATAGTCACACAATGGCATTTTTATTTAATAGGAAGTTGAATAGAGTTTTTATATAATAGAGTTCAGTGTGTGTACATGTGCGCATGTGTGAGCATGTGTGTGTCTATACCGGAGTTTGAACACAGTGCCTAGGTTCTATTTGGGAGTTAATTTCTGCTCAAGCCTCATGCTCTACTACTTGATCCAAAACTCCATTTTCTGTTTTGTTCGTAGTTAACTGGAGAGAAGGAATCTCCTGGACTATGCTATGCTGTCTGAATTTGAACTGTGATGCTCAGATCTCAGGTTCCTGGGCAGCTAGGATTACAGGCCTGAGCCATGGACACCCAGCTGGTACTTACACTTTGTTCTCTTTTCAGATTCACATACTATCACATTACTTGTTTGTCTTTTGTAGGACTTAAACTCTGGGCGTGGGCACTGATCTTGCGCTTCTTTGGCTGAAGGCTTGGCATTTGAACCCCAGCTCCACTTCAAGTTTACTTTGTTTTAACACAAGCTGGAAGTGAACAGCCAGCCTGTTCCTGGCTGATCCCTGGCCAGGAGTGTGTGGTCGGAGACCAGATTTCTTTCCATGGCTTCCAGCACCTCCTTCCCTGGGACATTTCCATACCTTTCCTGGTGATTTTGAAACCAGCGGGAACAATCCACTCTGGGACATCAGGGAAGTTGCACATCTTGTTCTCCTTCATCGCCTGGAAGGAACTGTTCTCCAGGACCAAGTCCAGCTCTCCGGGTTCCAGTGCCTTCCCCAGGAACCCACAGATCCTCTCTACCATGCTCCTTGTGTCCTAAGGAGAGAAAAACATGGCTCGGGTATGAGAGGGGACAACAGAGAGCATGACTGAGGAGGAGGGAGCAGGAGAAGACAGAAACAGCAGAAGGCAGTGGTAGGGGCAAGGATGGGTGGCCTGTGAAGTTGTGGGCGTGACTCAGTGGGTAGAGCACCAGCCCAAAATCAAAACATCAGGTACTGAGTTCAAGACTCCATCTTGAAACAAAAAAAAAAAAAAAGGAAGAAAAGGAGCATAAGAGGAGTGCAGGAAGGAATAACACACAACAGGATGTAGAAAGTTGACATAGAAGGTGGGATGGAGACTAGGGGGAGGATACTGGGGAAGAAGATAGTGGAGGAGCAGGAGAGATGGTAGAATGGGTGGAGAGGGCAGTGGTGGGGTGGGGTACATGTAAAATCAATGGTTACCTTTTTCATCTGCTCATAACTGAGGACCAGCACATTCTCCTTTTCCCTCATGGACATCCAGCCTCGGACGTGATCAAACCATGACCCGTAAGGTACTGCAGGGGGAACAGTGTGGCAGTGTGCAAAGTCTCCACCATTCCCGATCTGCATGGTGGTCTCAGCACTGATTGCTCTGGTCCCTGTCACCTCACCAGGGTGTAACTGAGAAATAAGTCCTGTCTCTTTATAGCCTCAAAGAGAGAGCACTACTGAGTACTGGTGGCTCATGCCTGTCATCCTAGCTACTTAGGACACTGAGATTTGAGGAACACTGTTCAAACCAGCCTGGGCAAGAAAGTCCATGAGACTCTTATCGCCAATGAACCATAATAAAAACCAGAAGTGGCGTTGTGGCTCAAGTGGTAGAGTGCTGGCCTTGAGCTAAAGAGCTGAGGGACAGCCCCCAGGCCCAGAGTTCAAGCTCCATGGACTGGGAGAGAGGGGGAAGGAAGGGATAGGGAGGGAAAGGGAAAGAGAGCAAACAGAAGCACTGTGGAGCCAGAATATTGATTTCTAAGCAATTTTTTCCTGTAGCACAACCTTTGCCCCATCTGAAGCAGGTCACCAAAAGCCACACCAAAACCTCTGACCGGTATAAAGAGCTCCACAGGTCCTCACAGAACTCAGGCTGAGTGCCTTCCATGCCAGCTTGGCCCAAGTCCATCACTTGCACAACTGAGCACAAGTCTGAGTGCAAGGTCTGAGCTGTGACACACGCACACGAGGCACCTCCCATCCCTGTCCATGGCTCCCAGCCGGTCAGTCTGCAGAGGCCTTGGTGTGGTTTCCTCTACTTGAAACATCTTTGCTTGAAATCAGGGCCAGAGCACTGTACCTGGGTTTCTACACTCCTCTCTACCACTTGAGCCACACCTTCACTCCCTGCATCATGATGATTGAGTGGGTATGAGAGCCTCAAGGACTTTCTGCTTGGGTTGGCTTCCAACTCTGACCCTCAGCTCTCAGCTCATGAGTAGCTGAGATTATAGGCGTGATCCACCAGCCCGGACTATAGATCCAAGTGGTAAGAGATGTTGAATCAGGGGAGAAACAGCTCATCAGGCACTTCTACTGGTCGTGAAGCTAAACCCAGAGGGCCTGAGACACCAGATGATGAGGTACACAGAGCACAGATGTGGGGTCCCCCACCCTTCATACCCAACTCAGGCCATGGACCCCTGACAGAACCACGGACAAGTGACAAAATTACAAGCATGAGGAATGACCCAGAACTTTTGCATGACTAGAAACAGAGCGATCCCAACTTCAAGTGAGAAACTCTGACATGGACAGCCAAACAAATTTAAAACATAAAAATACGTAGGGAAGGTAGAGTTGGGCTGTGTGGGAAGCCAGTGAGAAGCTGTCAGTCAACATCTGGGAGTAGAGCACACAGGAGGGGGCGGGTCCTCCATGGCTACGGAAGCTCCAGGGGCTCAAAACACCTTGGGACCTTCCATCATGGGAGAAGTCTGGTGCTGCCTTTAGCCAATGTGAGTTCTGGGATGAGGAAGCATTGGACCCACAGACGGTGAGATTTAAAGGAGACCATGGAGGGAGGGGACACTCAAAGAGGTTTAAATACTTCTCCATTCTCTTCATTGTTTACTCACCATATCCTTGCAAGAACCATTCAAAATATTGTTCCAATGACTCTGGTTTCTTAGACAGATTTGTAAAACGCCGGAAATAATAACCAGATATAAGGACATCCTTAGGATTTCTGATGACATAGATCATCTTCAAGGGAGAAAGGAGAGAATTAAACAAAATTCCCATCATTTCTTGTACTCTTGGCGTTCAGAGAAATTCTAGAATTTTTGCTCCAACATTGAAGTATGTGTTGATCTTTTGGTTGTGCATTAATTTGTGAAATACTTTTCAGAGTTGCTACAATCCAATCACTTTGCCAGGAATAAAACAATGGTGGGACAATGCATTTCCTAAATGTACCAGGGATATTTACCTAGAAAGCACAGGAGAGCAGACGCTGGTTAGCCTTTTCTGGCTGCAGATTTATGAATTGTTTTGTAAACATCATTGAAACACCTGGGATGGATGGCTCTCACCTGTAACCACAGCTACTCAGCCAGCTCACATCTGAGGATCATAGTTTGAAGCTAGCCCAGGCAGAACAGCTCATGAGACACCCATCTCCAATTAACTACCTGAAAACCTCAAGGGGAGCTATGGCACAAACTGGTAGAATAACAGCTTTGAGTACAAAAGCTCAGGGACAGCTGTGAGTTCAAGTCCCATGAATGGCACAAAAACAAAACAACAAGAATCCATTGATGGAGGGAGCTGAAATGATACAACAACAGAGATTTCACAGCACAGGCGCCCATTTCTATGGTGTTCAGGAGCAAATCTAGGTAGCATTTCACCAGGGAAGAGTGTGCATCGTGTCTGGTTTGGCCTAGGCTGGGGAAGCAGGACAAAGGCTCCTGGTTGATCTGGCCATGAGCATCAGGTGTTTATTCATTGCACAGCCTTCAGAGTCAGGCCACTGACACCAGGTCACATGACATTGAAACCACACAACCTCAACTTTCTTTTTCCTTTTTCTTTTCTTTTCTTTCCTTTTTGCCATGGTTGGTGGTTGTACTGAGGGCCTAGGTGCTGTCCCTGTGTTTATGTGCTCAGGCTGGTGTTTTACCACTTGAGCTGCTGCTCTATTTCTGGCTTTGTTTTTGATAGCTAATCAGAGATAAGAATTACCTGGCCTTTCCTACCTGGGCTGTCTTGTAATCTTTTTTTTTTTTTTTTTTTTTTTTGGGGTCCGGTCGTGGGCCTGAACTCTGGGGCTGGGCGCTGTCCCTCAGCTCTTCAGCTCAAGGCTAGTGCTCTACCACTTGAGCCACAATGTCACTTCTGGCTTTTTTTTTTCTACTTATGTGGTGCTGAGGAATCGAACCCAGGGCCTCATGCATGGAAGGCAAGCGCTCTACTACTGAGCCCCTTCCCAGCCCTGTCTTGTAATCTTGATCCTCAGATCTCAGCCTCCTGTTTAGCTTGGACGACTGCATGAGGCCTGGGTATCCACTTGAAACACAGTTTGTTTAGTCTTTCAGTTTGTCATCCAGTTCATCTGTCAAGGATCACACAGCCATGGTCCACATCTTGGACTCTGGTTTGGTCTGAGGACCCTCAATTCATGAAGGAGAGTCTATGGTCCTCTATGAACTACAGAGGGAGAATGCCAGACCTGCTGGGTGTGTGCATTTTTAAGAGGAAAAGGCCTTGATGGAACAGTTATTGGGCACTGAGCACTGACCTTGGCCTTGGAAGTGAAGAAAGACTTGGGGAAGAGTTGGATGGGGAGGTGGGAGGTGATGAGGGGGGGACCCTCCTTCCTCTCCACTTTGAATTTGTATCCACTTTCATTCTCAATCCATGGGGAACGAATGTATGTGGGCACAGATCGAACCCAGTTGGGATCCCCCTTGGTGTGAATCAGAGAGAGAATCTCAATCAACCAATGGGTTCCTGGGGCAGAAACAAAAGCAGAGGTCACACAATATTACATACACCCATATTTATATACACACACACATATACATACATGCACACACACATATATAATGGTAAAGCATATGTAACATAGACCTTACGAATATAAACTTTCTCAGGCATGCAATCTGATATGGATATGTAGTGTTTAGTGTATTTGGTTTAATTAATTAATTTATTTATTTACTTATTTTTTTTTTTAAATTTTATTTTATTTTACTTGAGAACATACTGTACAGAGGGGTTACAATTACATGGGCAGGATAATGCATACATTTCTTACCAAGCATTGCAGCCTCCTCCTTTGTTTACCCTTCACCTCCCTTCCCAGCCTCCCCCCTCCCTCCCACCCAATCATATCCCCCCCCCCCACCGACATTGTAAAGCTGGTTTTGACATGACATTTTGTACTTCTCATTGTTGCAACAGGTCCACCTGAATCCTTAAACGACTTGTTTGTCCCCATCTCCTCCACATGTTATACTGACATCAAATATAGTGAAAGCGGGGGTTACACTGTGGGGGAGGGACATACAAAGCAACAAAGATTATTTACTTATTTTTGCGTTTGGTTGTGGGGCCTGAACTCTGGTCTTGGTGCTGTCCCTCAGCTTGTAGCTCAAGGCTAGCACTCTATCACTTGAGCCATAGCACCACTTCCGGCTGTTTTCTTTTTGCTTATGTGGTGCTGAGGAATGTAATCCAGGGCCTCAGAGGTTCAAGGCAAGCATTCTACCACTGAGCCACATTCCTAGCACCTGTTTAGTGTATTTTAATCATAGCTCACTCAGTGCCAGTATTTTCTCATCTAATAAGTCTGCACTGTCCATGACAACTGAATATTGATATTCTTGCCACCTGCCCTGACCCCCATCATTCTATTATCACAATAGGACTTTGGCAGTTTTGGGCCTTGTATGTGAGTGCAATAGTACACAGTTTTTTTTTTTTTCTTTTTTTGCACTATGGCCTTGACTCATGCGGTTTCAAATGGCAAAATGTCCTGATAATAGTAGAGCATGGGTCTAAGTAGGAAGCATTATGCTCACCTTTGGTCCTCAGCTCCTCCCAGATCTGTGCTGCTCCCTGCCCTGGAGTTCCTGCCTTACAGGTGGCCCCTTCTTCTCTCCACCCAGACCCACCTGAGCTCCCACCTACCTCACTTCCTACCCCCAGCCCCTGCTGCTGCCAGATAGTGGAGGTGGTCATGAGCTCTCTCTCTGCGGGAGAAGTGGCTCCTCTAATAAACCTTGTAATCATCTTTCTCCTGTGCCTGCCTGCCTCCGCATGGTCCCCTGGGAAGGATGTGATGGATCCTTTCCTGAGCTGTCTGCATTTTCAACAGTGTATAATATTCCACTTTGATCTCTCAACTTGTTTGGGATTGTGCAGCCATTTCTCTGTGGATATTTGGGTTTAATGCAGCTGTCAGCTGTTGCTGAAATCCTGCAGTGCCCCACTGGCTGTGGTTTTCAGCACATTTCCCTTGCAGTGTGCCCTCAGCGCTCCCTCCCCACTCCCCGGGCCCCTTCACACAGGCTCCCTGGCCTGCCAGTGCCTTGTGTTTGCCCCAAGTTTTCCAGGTCCTAACTATGGCCCATCATGATTCTTCTATTTGAGATCATGCTTTTTCTCTAGGTAACCTCAAAATCATCCTTTTCATTTAAAAAAATCTGTTGCCAACCCTGGAGCTTGAACAGGGCCTGGGCACTGTCCACGAGTTGTTGCATTCAAGGCTGGCACAATACCACAGGGCCACAGGTCTTCAATAATGAGCTAGTACACCATTCCTATGTGGGACACAGTTGGGAGTGAGGCCATAGCTCTGGCCTTTCCCTGGCAGCCACAGCTCCGTCTGCTCACCTGATTTGGGGTAGGTCACCGTGATGATGTCTTCGTCCTTCAGCACCAGCTCCTCATGGACTGCTTTTATGACTTCAGGGTAGAAATCCACAACAGGGAAAGGAATGCCCTGGTACCACATGTAGTCCTGAGCCATGGCAGAGTCTTGGGTGTCTGGCTCTTGGTCTCAGGCCAGTGGCACTGCCACCGTGTAAGTGGTGGCTGAGTCTGGATTGTGAAGACTATCATTAATTAAGATGATTTGGTGATAAATAAAACCCCTGTGATTGTCCCCAGGGGTTTTTATTGGGCAAGTGTGAAATCATGCAAAGGGTGAACTGTGCTCACCTGATCTACAGTTCATGGCAGAAAACCAGAAATACAAGAGGAAATAGGCTAGGGTATATGATTAACAAATATTTTTTAATGCACCAATCCTTTATTTTGCGAAGAGGTAAAGGATATGAGAAAACATCGCTGGGAGAGAAGAGCTGGACTTCTGGATCAAGACCCCACGTTCAGTCTACTAATATCACTCCAAAATCTTTGCCAAGATTCTTCAATGCCTTGTCCTTCCAATTTCCTCTGTTTCCCCTATGATCTCTCTCCACTCCAGGATGGCAGCCATGATCCCCCAGGTCATGGGTCTCCATGATTCCTCATGCTTCTGGATGCAGGGACAGTTTCTCAAATTTCTTTTCTTTAACCTGACCTTGCAGATTTGACAAAAAACAAATACTTCTGTAACTTTATGGGGATGGTGTGAGTGTTTGTGTTTGTGTGTGTGTGTGTGTGTGTGTGTTCACACCACAGGAACCGATTTTTCTCCTTCCTTCCTTCCTTTCTCTCCTTCCTTTCTCTCCTTCCTTCCTTCCTTCCTTCCTTCCTTCCTTCCTTCCTTCCTTCCTTCCTTCCTTCCTTCCTTCCTTCTTCCTTCCTTCCTTCCTTCTTCCTTCCTTCCTTCCTTCCTTCCTTCCTTCCTTCCTTCCTTCCTTCCTTCCTTCCTTCCTTCCTTCCTTTTTTCCTTCCTTCCTTCCTTCCTTATTTCCTTTCTTTTGTAGTTGTTCAAGGGGGTTGAACTGGCCCTGGGTCTCTCAGTTCTTTAGCTCAAATGTTGTTCATCCACAGCACCACTTCTGGACTGTTCTGTTTATGTGGTGCTGAGGAAGCGAACCAAGGGCCTCATAAATGTGAGGCAAATGCTCTACCACTGTGTCACCTTCCCAACCCCCAGGGACCTATGTCTATGATGTTCAAGAGCAAAGAAATCTAGATAACATTGCACTGGGAACTGTTTGGGATTGTGCCTGGTGTAGGCTGTACCCGGGACGTGGGATATTCTCTCTGGAGGATAAAGCCATTTTTTTTGCCTTCCTGGGACTTGAACTCAGGGCCTGGGCACTGTCCCTGTGTTTTTGTGCTTAATATTAGTGCTCTACCACTTTAGGCACAGCTCCACTTCTTGTCTTGTTGGAGTTAAGAGTGTCCTGGCCTTTGCTGCCTGGGCTAGCTTCCAACTTTGATCCTTACTACCTGATTAGCTGGGATTACAGGAGTGTGCCACTGGTGCTTGGCTTTTTTTTATTTCTCTTCCAGTCCTGGGCTTGAACTCTGGGTCAAGGTGCTATTCCTGAGCTTCTTTTGCTCAAGGCTAGCACTCTACCACTTGAGCCATAGCGCCACTTCTGGCTTTTTCTGTATATGCCATGGTAAGGAATTGAATCCGGGGCCTCACTCATATGAGGCAAGCACTCTACCACTGAGCCAACTTCCCAGTGCTAATTTTTTTAAATTTAATTTTATTGTAAAGATACTGGACAGAGAGGTTACAGTTACATGAGTAAGGTAATGCTCAGGTTTTTGTTAATGCCAGTCTTGTGTTATGTGCTTCCCATGGGTCGGAGTTTTCTTCATTTTCAACACTGAGCAATATTCCATTTTGATCTCTTAACCTGTTTGGATGATGCAGCCATTTCTCTGTGGATATTTGGGTTTAATTTCCTGGCGCTCTACCGTGTTAGCCACAGGTCTTCAATAACGGAGCTACTATATGGTCCCTATGTTGAAGACAGCAGGAGGGAATGGGGGCTGCAGGCCTGGAGGTTCCAAGGCAGAGCACTGGAAGTGGAGCTCTGGCTCGGGTGGTAGAATGTGATCCTTGAGTGAAAACCTGAGGGACAGTGCCCAGGCCCTGAGTTCAAGTGTCAGGACCAGCAAACACTTGAATAACATGGCGCTTGATGCATTCCCATACTTACATTTCTTACTGACATTTTTGTGCCAGACCCAGAAGTCTGGCACCCACAGGACGTGAATGACTCGCAGGGCATTATGGGGGTGGTGACCACTCACATATCTACCCAGGCCCTGGGCTGTGACCCCGTGAGACCTAGGCTGTGATGTCATCGCACTCTCTCAGGTCTGATGGGGTCCCCTGAGAGGCGATCTCTCTTCCAATCCTGACTGGGAAAACTTGACCAAAGCCTGCCTAAAGCCCAATCAATAGCTACAATATGAAATGTGGTGACTGAGGAAGCTCATCTCCAAGCTTTGAAAAATCAACACGTCCCCATGCCCGACCAAAAGAACAACAAACACAGAAACAAAAAAACCACCATAGACATTCTTGGGGCTGGGAATGTGGCTCAGTGGTAGGGTGCTTGCCTTGTATGCATGAGTCCCTGGGTTCAATTCTGCAGGACCACATCAGCAGAAAAAGCCAGAAGTGGCACTGTGGCTCAATTGGTAGAGCACTAGCCTTGATTTGAAGATCTAAGGGTCAATGCCACGGCCCAGAGTTCAAGCCCCAGGACTGACCAAAAAAAAAAAAAAATCAACGTGTCTACTCTCCCATAGTAATTGAGGAGGACCAGCTTACCATACTGGGAGTTGTCCTACAGGTTCTGGGCAGGTATCAGATCAGGTGTCAGAACAGGGAAGTGGTAACCCAGCCAGGATAAATAGCTATCACCTCTGTACATAGCAGGCAAGGAGGCCTGGAACCGTTGGTTGATTTCAGAGCCCGGTTAAAGATAATCTTCATAAAAGTGTAACTGCAACCTGAGTTAAGAGACTAACTTCTCCAAATATATACCATTGAAGAATGCTAATTGAGTGTTCAAAGGCTTTACACTCCATCAAGGCCGCAAACGGCGATGTTACAAATCATGTTGAAGTCTGTAATGACATTGGCTTCTCTGCTGCAGCCATAAGGGGATCCACCATAACATGTCTTAAAATGTTTTAGATGTGAAAAAAATGGGATACATAAAAAGGAATTGTTCAAAAGGTAAGAACTCCTAGCAAATTCAGAGCCTTGTACAAGTTAAATAACACTCTTTGGATAGGATGGGGGTGCCAGACCCTTCTATAAACTTCTCTTACATCTATAAATGGATTTAAGAAGAGTTCCCTCTTTTTGCCCAATTTTCTTTACAGACCCTGAAGACTAGAAGCCTCCGACATGTTCAAAGATCCATTTGTATATTAATATGCCTTGCTAACAAAGTTGTCTGAACATTTTCTGTTCTTTGTCATCTATTTCTCAAATAGCTGTGAAAAATGTTATTTATTGTGTTTGTATTTTGCCTCATAGTTTGCTTTGTGTTGTCTGTCTAATACTGACCACACAGTTTTATCATATTGGACAAAATAATGTCACTTTGCCATTGGAATTCCAAAAGAATCTATGGCCAATATATATATATATATATATATATATATATATATATATTTTTTTTTTTTTCAGTCATAGGGCTTGAACTTTGGGCCTGAGCATTGTCTCTTAGCTCTTCGGCTCAAGGCTAGCCACTGTGCCACTTCCAGTTTCCTGGTTGTTAATTGGAGATAAGAGTCTCATGGACTTTCCTGCCTGGGCTTGCTTTGAACCTGGATCTTCAGTCTCAGCCTCCTGAGTAGCTAGGATTACAGGTGTGAGCCACAGGCCAAATTTCATTTTTATAATCTAATTGAGCATTAAAACTCTTGTACATAGGGGCAGGGAAGGTGGCTCAGTGGTATAGCACTTTGCGTTGCATGCCTGAGGCCCTGGGTTTGATTCCTCAGCACTACATGAGCAAAAAGAAAAAAATTAGAAGTGGTGCTGTGGCTCAAGTGGTAGAGCGCTAAACTTGAGCTGAAGAGCTGAGGGACAGTGCCCAGGACCAGAGTTCAGGACCCATGACCGGACCCAAAAAAACAATAAAACAAAAAAACTCTTGTACATAAGTATGAGTGTAAGTGTATGTGAAACTGTTCAAAATAATCTAGTATTTTAATGCTTAAAATCTGTCATGATGGTGTGAAAAAAAAACCAGGTCTGGCAAAGTGGTTCAGTGCTAGAGTGCTCGCCTTGCATGCATGAGATCCTGGGTTCAATTATTCCGTACCATATAAGGAGAAAAAGCCAGAAGTAGGGCTGTGGCTCAAGTGGTAGAGCACTAGCCTTGAGCTGAAGAGCTACGGGACAGCGCCCAGGCCCAGAGTTCAGGCCCCAGGACCGGAACCCACACCCCCAAAATTGCTATCTTCACCTCAACCTATACGCTGAAAGGATGACATTGGTAATAACTAGAGACCCAGAACCATCAAAGTATGGGGTGGTGGTTATTCCTGTGGGTGCACAGGTTCAGCGGACATCTGTCTACCTACCCTGAAATGAAAACCCAGAAATAAAGAGAAAATGCATCCAACCTCCAGGAACCTCTGAAGAAAACCTTCAAGAGCATGAGGATATCTAAGGGCTCGGGGAGAAAGAGAAACAGCGACCCTTCACACCTGGGGACCAGAGAAGAAGCTTTCCTTAGAAGCTGAGAGATACCAAAAGGACAAGGGACCGGAAGTGAATGCATCGTCGTCGTGGTTGTTTATAATGATGCTTCTTTAGACTGCTGGTGCCTTCTGCTCAGTATAAGCCTCTGTTTGGGGGATTCCTATGCTGGGTAAACTGTTGCACTTAAATTGTACTTTGATATGTAACAACGCAGGTATCGGACCTGCCCACTGATATAAAAACGGAGTTAAAATATTTAGTCAGGCTGGGTGTCAGTGGTTCATGCCTGTCATCCTAGCTACTCAGGAGGTTCAGATCTGAGGATAGCAGTTCAAAGCCAACCCAGGCAGGAATTGGTGAAAACTGTAAGTGGTGGTGTGGCTCAAGTCATAGAGCGCTAGTTTTGAACTAAAGAGCTCAGGGACAGCACCCAGGCCCAAAGTTCAAGCCTACAACCAACCAAAAATAAAAAATAAAAAAGACCATGAATGAAACTTCCTTTTGTATCAAAGAAGGCTCTTCTGTGCAAAATGTGCCAATAAACAGTTTAGTAGAACATGCTGGCAGTTGGAAAGAGGTAAAAATATAACTCAGGATAAAATTAGTCGTCAAGAAGATGAGAGTTGAGAGAACGAATTAATTTGGACCTTGAATTAATAGTTCACTGTGATTTTTCATGCTTCTGCTATGCAAATGACCTTAGCAACTGCTCATCACTGACAAGACTCTGTTTGCCTCAAGGAAAAAGAGTCGGCATTGGCTGGTCTTTCTTTCGTGGAGGAAAGGCATATGGCGCTCTAAAGACAAATTATCCATGACTGTTATGTTAGGAGAATGGTGCTTGTCTGTCTTAGTAATTTGACCCATCAGAGTAAGAGATGCATAAGACAAGATCTCACTTGAAATTGTGATAACTTAATGCTGTTAAATACTGTGGATAGGGCTGTAGTTGCATCTTTTATTCTGCCTGTCCCTAGACTTGAAGAAGGTGTCCAGAAAGAGTACGGCAGACAACCTTGTATTTTCAACCAAGTGTCAGATAAATAAATCAAGAAATCAATCAACAAATCAATCAATCAATGAAGAAATGAAAAAGGGAAGAACAATAATTTGACACATTGGAACCGCCACAGACTGTTTGCTGTTGAAAAACCATTTAGGATGTGAACTGTTTGAAGGACTGAGCTGCTTTAAGATAACTGCCAATTCTCAAAGGATTCAGAACCAGCTAGAGCAGCTGAAACAGGAGCTGAAAAAGTTAAAATTCAATGATAACTGGGACTTCCAGAATAGTTTTCCATTTTTTTTTTGGCTTTTCTGGGCCCAAGATCCTCTATTTTATGGATTATCCAGCTAGCACCCTGTTTATTTAAATGTTTATTTCTAGCATGCAGCATATGCTAGCTCAAACAGAAATAAGAATTATGCTTTCTGAAATCATAGGAAAAGGGGGGATTTTGAGAGCCCCCAAAAGCTGAGCTGTGAGAGCTGGAAGGATTGGGAGGATGGAAGGCCTCCTCTGAACATGAACTTTTAGAATCCTGAGAGCTCGCTGGAAACATCAATCCCTGCTGGATTGATAGGACTTCAGATTTCTTTCTTGGGTGTAGGCTAATTCCACATCAGACCTTCTGGGATCTTTGGGATAGACAAAAATCTATGTGAACTCTAAGTCATTTGCTGCTTACACCTGCTGCTTAAGATGAAGGAGTTATTTATCACCAGATGGAGATGACATCTCAGGATGGGTGCTTGTGATTAGTATTGTATTGTCGTATTGGTGCTTGTGATGTCAGGGAAATGGTGATCTCCCGTTGTACATGTAAGCCCCTGTGCCCTACTCAATAAATACCTTGTCAAATGGACTCTGGGTACTGGAAGCTGACAAAAAGCTTCAGGCTCCTGGTGCCCCAAACCTCACTTAAAGGATCTGGTTTCTGTTCCGGCCTCATCCCAGGTTGTCCCAAGTTGGGTTAGAGCTTCCACGCAAGATCAATGCGGGGGAAGAAATCCCTTCCCCAGGATCTCCAGCAAACCCTCAGGCAGCCTCCTGCTGTGCGCAGCCTACTGTCCCCACCCGAGGGAACTGTGCAGCCTTTCACCCAGGTCGTCTTTGCTAAACAGAACACTAAGGCATGGTTTTCAGCCCTCGGTGCTGTGGCCCCATTTATTTCAGCAAGAACACACACAGGTCCCTTTGTGCTCCTCACCTGCATGTGGCTGCCACCTGTCCTGGTGATTGCACCAAAGATGTGACAGGCAAAGTCAGACCTCCTAATTCGAGTGACAGACTAATACTATGATCTCCACCCAGTCCTGTCACCTCCATAAGGTGGTGACACGTCTTCATCCCAACACTCAAGGAGGTAAAACTGGGCTTAGTCCCACGAGAATAGCTCCGGAGGAAGTCCCACCATCTTCTTCTGGAATGTTTCCTCGAAGGCTTGGGTCTGGGCTGGGGTGAAGTGGTTCTTCCAGTCCCCCGTGATACCTGAGGCCATGAAAAAACAATGACACCAGACTGGGTCAGGGCAGGAAGGCGCTGTCCCCTCATGTCCCTTCTGCCCTCTGCCTGCCCTGAGGGTGAGGCCACAGATCTCCCTGGGAGATGGACTCCACAGCCACTACGCTCCATGTCCAGTGCTCTCCTCTCAAGTTCTGCCCCTGCCACCAGAGGGGCACATCCTCCCCAGATGTGTGGGAGTCAGGAAGCTCAGCATGTGGTCTCATACTCACACAATGGCATTTTTATTTAATAGGAAGTTGAATAGAGTTTTTATATAATAGAGTTCAGTGTGTGTACATGTGTGCATGTGTGTGCAAGTGTGTGTCTATACAGGAGTTTGAACTCAGGGCCTTGTGCTATTTGGGAGTTATTTTCTGTTCAAACCTCATGCTCTACTACTTGAGCCACAATTCCCTTTTCTGTTTCTTTGGTGGTTAACTGGAGAGAAGAAATCTCCTGGATTATGCTATACCATCTGGATTTGAACTGTGATAATCAGATCTCAGGTCCCTGGGCAGCTAGGATTACAGGCCTGAGCCATTGACACCCAGCTGGTACTTATACTTTGTTTCCTTTTCAGATTCACATACTATCACATTACTTGTTTGTCTTTTGTAGGACTTAAAGTCTGGGCCGGGGCACTGATCTTGAGCTTCTTTTGCTGAAGGCTTGGCATTTAAGCCTCAGCTCCACTTCCAGTTTACTTTGTTTTAACACAAGCTGGAAGTGAACAGCCAGCCTGTTCCTGGCTGATCCCTGGCCAGGAGTGTGTGGTTGGAGACCAGATTTCTTTCCCTGGCGTCCAGCACCTCCTTCCCTGGGACATTTCCTTACCTTTCCTGGTGATTTTGAAACCAGCAGGAACAATCTCCTCTGGGATACAAGGGAGGTTGGACATCTTGTTCTCCTTCATTGCCAGGAAGGAACTGTTCTCCAGAACCAAGTCCAGCTCTCCGGGTTCCAGTGCCTTCCCCAGGAACCCACAGATCCTCTCTACCATGCTCCTTGGGTCCTAAGAGGAGAAAAACAAGGGCTCAGGTATGAGAGGGGACAAGAGAGCAGGAGTGAGGAGGAGGGAGCAGGAGAAGAGAGGGACAGCAGAAGGCACTGGCAGGAGAGAGGATGGGTGGCCTGTGGAGTTGGGGGCGTGACTCAGTGGGTAGAGCACCAGCCAAAAGGCAAAACTGAGTTCAAGACTCCATCTTGAAACAAAAATAAAAAAGAAAGAAAAGGAGCATTAGAGGAATGCAGGAAGGAATAATACACAACAGGTTGTAGAAAGTTGACATAGGAGGTGGGATGGAGTCTGGGGGGAGGATACTGGGGAAGAACATAGTGGAGAAACAGGGGAGATGGCAGAAGGGGTGAAGAGGGCAATTTTGGGTGGGGTGCAGTTAAAATCAATCGTTACCTTTTTCATCTGCTCATAACTGAGGACCAGCACATTCTCCTTTTCCCTCATGGACATCCAGCCTCGGACGTGATCAAACCATGACCCGTAAGGCACTGCAGGGGGAACAGTGGGGCAGCGTGAAAAGTCTCCACCATTCCCGATCTGCATGGTGGTCTCAGCACTGATTGCTCTGGTCCCTGTCACCTTCACCAGGGTGTAACCGACAAATAAGTCCTGTCTCTTTATAACCTCAAAGAGAGAGCACTACCTGAGTACTGGTGGCTCACGGCTGTCATCCTAGCTACTTAGGAGACTGAGATTTGAGGATCAGTGTTCAAACCAGCCAGGGCAAGAAAGTCTATGAGACTCTTATTGCCAATGAACCACCAAAAAACTAGATGTGGCGCTGAGGCTCAAGTGGTAGAGTGCTCGCCTTGAGTTAAAGAGCAGAGGGATAACACCCAGGCCCAGAGTTCAAGTCCCATGGCTGAGAGAGAGGGGGAAGAATGGGATAGGGAGGGAGGGAGAGGGAAAGAGAGCAAACACAAGCACTGTGGAGCCAGGACATGGATTTCTAAGCAAATTTTTCCTGTAGCACAACCTTTGCCCCATCTGAAGCAGGTCACCAAAGGCCAGACCAAAACCACTGATCAGGACAAAGAGCTCCGCAGGCCCTCACAGAACTCAGGCCGAGGGCCTTCCAATCCAAGTTGGCCCAATCCATCACTTGCACAACTGAGCACAAGTCTGAGTGCAAGGTCTGAGTTGTGACAGAAGCAAAAGAGGCACCTCCCATCCCTGCCCATGGCTCCCAGCAGGTCAGTCTGCAGAGGTCTTGGTGTGCTTTGGTTTCCTGGAAACATCTTTGTTGAAATCAGGGCCAGAGCACTATCCCTCGGTTTCTACACGCCTCTCTACCACTTGAGCCACACCTTCACTCCCTGCATCATGATGATTGAGTGGGTATGAGAGCCTCAAGGACTTTCTGCCTGAGTTGGCTTCCAACTCTGACCCTCAGCTCTTTGCTCCTGAGTAGCTGAGATTATAGGCATGATCCACCAGCCCTGACTATAGATCCAAGTGGTAAGAGATGTTAAATCAGGGGAGAAACAGCTCATCAAGCACTTCCTCTGGTTGTGACGCTAAACCCAGAGGGCCTGAGACACCAGATGATGAGGTACACAGAGCACAGATGTGGGGTCCCCCACCCTTCATACCCAACTCAGGCCATGGACCCCTGACAGAACCATGGACGAGTGACCAAATTACAAGCATGAGGAATGACCCAGAGCTTCTGCATGAGTAGAAACAGAGCGACCCCAACTTCAAGTGAGAAACTCTGACACGGACAGCCAAACAAATTTAAAACATAAAAATACGTAGGGAAGGTAGAGTTGGGCTGTGTGGGAAGCCAGTGAGAAGCTGTGAGCCAACATCTGGGAGTAGAGCACACAGGAGGGGGCGGGTCCTCCATGGCTACGGAAGCTCCAGGGGCTCAAAACACCTTGAGACCTTCCATCATGGGAGAAGTCTGGTGCTGCCTTTAGCCAATGTGAGTTCTGGGATGAGGAAGCATTGGACCCACAGACGGTGAGATTTAAAGGAGACCTTGGAGGGAGGGGACACTCAAAGAGGTTTAAATCCTTCTCCATTCACTTCACAATCTACTCACCATATCCTTGCAAGAACCATTCAAAAAATTGTTCCAGTGACTCTGGTTTCTTAGCCAGATTTGTAAAACGCCAGAAATAATAACCAGATATAAGGACATCCTTAGGATTTCTGATGACATAGATCATCTTCAAGGGAGAAAGGAGAGAATTAAACAATATTCCCATCATTTCTTGCACTCTTGGTGTTCAGAGAAATTCTAGCCATATTTGCTGCCACATTGAAGTATATATACCTATATACCTTTGTACCTATATAATATTTTAAGCATTTTTTTAAGTTTTTCACATCTCCTCTGTATCCCCCCACTTCCCTCAATGTATTCACATTCCTCTCTAAATAGATGGTCTTTTAATCTCTATGACAACATTAATTTTTTTTTTCTGGTCTCTTTTCATTCCCCTTTCCCTTTCTTCTTTTCCTCTCTCTCTCTACTTGCATCCTACCCAACCTATTTCCTGCATTGTGATTGGGACATAGTTAACTCTCCCTGTGCCTCCCCACACCAATCTATCCCTATTTTTTTACCCACATCTCTCCCTAACCCTAATAATTTCTGGTTTTCCAAATTCTTCTCTGCGGTTCGAAGTCCATTAACATATAGTTGTTTGATGTTGAATAGATGTCTCTGTTGAACTAGATTGTATCTGTAGACTATTGACTGTACAAATGCAAACTTTGGTTGATGGTTGCCTTAAGATAGTGTTCTAGCACAAAACTGGTGCTATCTTCATCTCAAATGGGCAGAGTAAGCCGGAAAACACAAGAAAAATGGCAAATTCGGGTATCTCAATTCCCAATCTTGATAATCAGGGGTTAGAACAGATAATGAATAATCCAGAGGAGAGTTCCCAAATAGCTCTACAAACACTGCTGGCAAACATGATGGATGAGAAGTTTGACAACTTACAAAGGACTCTGTATGAGCGTGATAGGGAGAGAGAGGAGGCATCCCAGAAGTTTATACAGGAATATCATAAGCGTGAGGAAGCTACTCAAAAACGGATACAGGATTTGCGTGAACAACTTGAGAATACTCAAAGAGAAAGGGAGGAATGGCGCGAGCAGGCTGAGAACACTCAAAGAGAACTGCAGGAATCCCACAAACGGGAGGAAAGAGAACTGCAGGAATCCCAGGAACGGGAGGAAGCTAATCAAAGAGTAATACAGGAATTGAGACACCAGATAGAGAACACACAAAGATCACTAAAGGCATTCATGGAATCTATTAACAAAGAGCTGAAGGAAGTCAGGGAGACCACAAAGGGAATGCTGAAGGGAACCCAACAGAAGGAATGGGAGCCCAAAGAAACCATAACCAATCAACTAAGTGATTTGAGAACAAACACTGAACACCAAATTAAGGAAGTAAAGAAATTCATACAAGACCTAAATCAGAGCTTCAACAAAGAACTTGAAGCCATCAAAGCTGACCAACTAGAAGGAAAAGAGATAAAAAACAAAGTAGAGAGTCTTGACAGCAGGATAGACCATGCAGAAGATCGAATCTCAGGGATTGAAGACAGCCTAGATATTATAGAGAAAGAACATACAACCATCCAAGACAATTTTCTTTTTCTTTTTTTCTTTTTTTTTTTTTACTCAGGGCCTACGTGCTGTCCCTGTGGTTTTGTGCTCAGGCTGGTGCTTTACCACTTGACTGCTGCTCCACTTCTAGTGTTATTTTGGATAGCTCATCAGAGATAAGAATCACCTGGCCTTTCCTACCTGGGCTGACTTCTGATCTTGATCCTCAGATCTCAGTCTCCTGTTTAGCTGGGATGACTGCATGAGATCTGGGTATCCACTTAAAACACAGTTTGGTTAGTCTTTCAGTTAGTCATCCAGTTCATCTGTTAGGGATCACACAGCCATGGTCCACATCTTGGACTCTGGTTTGGTCTGAGGACCCTGAATTCATGAAGGAGAGTCTGGGGTCCTCCATGAACTACAGAGGGAGAATGCCAGAGCTGCTGGCTATGTGCATTTTTAAGAGGAAAAGGCCTTGATGGAACAGCTATTGGGCACTGAATACTGACCTTGGCCTTGGAAGTGAAGAAAGACTTGGGGAAGAGTTGGATGGGGAGGTGGGAGGTGATGAGGGGGGGATCCTCCTTCCTGTCTTTTATGGTTTGGAATCCAACTTCACTCTCGATCCATGGGGAACGAAGACCTGTGGGCACAGATCGAATCCAGTTGGGATCCCCCTTGGTGTGAATCAGAGAGAGAACCTCAATCAACCAATGTGTTCCTGAGGCAGAAAGAAAAGCAGAGGTCACTCATTTCTATCTGAATACACAATATTATATATATATATATATATATATATATATACACACACACACACATACACATACATACATGCATACACACACATAGATAATGGTAAAGCATATGATGTAACATAGACCTTAGGGATATAAACTTTCTCAGGTATGCAATCTGATATGGATAAGTAGTGTTTAGTGTATTTGAATCATAGCTCTCGCAGTGCCAGTATTTTGTCATCTAATAAGTCTACACTGTCCATGACAACTGAATATTGATTTGCTTGCCACCTGCCCCATCATTCTCTTATCACACCAGGACTTTGGCAGTTCTGGGCCTTGTATGTGAGTGCAATAGTACACAGTTTGTTTGTTTTTTTTTGCACTATGGTCTTGACTCATGTGGTTTCAAATGGCAAAATGTCCTGATAATAGTAGAACATTGGGTCTAAGTAGGAAGCATTATGCTCACCTTTGGTCCTCAGTTCCACCCATTTCTGAGCTGTTCCCTGCCCTGGAGATCTTGCCATACAGCTGGCCCCTCCCTCTCTCCACCCAGACCCATCTGAGCTCCCACCTACCTCACTTCCTACCCCCAGCCCCTGCTGTCTCTAGATAGTGGAGGTAGTCATGAGCTCTCTCTCTGAGGGAGATATGGCTCCTCTAATAAACCATCTTTCTCCTGTGCCTGCCTGCCTCCCCCTGGTCCCCTGGGAAGGATGTGATGGATCCTTTCCTGAGCTGTCTGCATTTTCAACAGTGTATAATATTCCACTTTGATCTCTCAACTTGTTTGGGATTGTGCAGCCATTTCTCTGTGGATATTTGGGTTCAATGCAGCTGTCAGCTGTTGCGGAAATCCTGCGGTGCCCCACTGGCTGTGGTTTTCAGCACATTTCCCTTGCAGTGTGCCCTCAGTGCTCCCTCCCCACTCCCCGGGCCCCTTCACACAGGCTCCCTGGCCTGCCAGTGCCTTGTATTTACCCCAAGATTTCCAGGTCCTAACTATGGCTCATTATGATTCTTCTATTTGAGATCATGCCTTTTCTCCAGGTAACCTCAAAATCATCCTTTTCATTTTATGAACTATGGAGCACCTCAAAAACACCTATTTAAAAAACTGTGCTGCCAACCCTGGAGCTTGAACTGGGCCTGGGCACTGTCCATGAGCTGTTGCGCTCAAGACTGTCACAATACCACAGGGCCACAGGTCTTCAATAAGGAGCTACTACAGCATTCCTATGTGGGACACAGTTGGGAGTGAGGCCACAGCTCTGGCCTTTCCCACACAGCCACAGCCCCCTCTGCTCACCTGATTTGGGGTAGGTTACTGTGATGATGTCTTCGTCCTTTAGCACCAGCTTCTCATGGACTGCTTTTAGATGTTCAGGGCAGATATACACAACAGGGAAAGGAATGCCCTGGTACCACACGTAGTCCTGAGCCATGGCAGAGTCCTGGGTGTCTGGCTCTTGGTCCCAGGCCACTGGTACTGCCACTGTGGAAGTGGTGACAGAGTCTGGATGGTCAAGACAATCATTAACTAAGATAAACTGGTGATTTAAAAAAAAACCCTGTAATTGTTCCCAGTGATTATTTTTATTTTTATTTTTGTGAACATACTGTACAGAGGGGTTATAATTACATGGGCAGGATAATGCATACATTTCTTATCAAACATTGCAGCCTCCTCCTTTGCTTACCCTTCACATCCCTTCCCAGCTTCCCCCCCCCCCCACCAGCAACTCTAACTTTCTCCCTCCCTCCCCCCAGCACCAAAGTTGTAAAGTTCGTTTTCGACATGACAACTTGTACTTCTCATTGTTGCAACAGGTCCACCTGTATCCTTAAATGACTTATTTTTCCCCATCTCCTCCACAAGTTATACTTCATCAAATATAGTGAAAGCAGCGGTTATACTCTGGGGGAGGGACATACAAAGCAACAATGAAATAATCTTATAAATGCATTAGAAACAAATGCATGAAAGAAAAAAACATTAAAATACATATCTAAGGGTTCATTTTCCTAACATCTCATTATCTGACCTTTTTCCGCTTGACTCACACATATACTAGATATTTCAAATAAGGGAAACCATGGGACCTATGTTTCTTTGGGCCTGGCTTACTTCACTTAATATAATTTTTTCCAAGTTTTTCCATTTCCTAACAAATGGGACACTGTCGTTTTTTCTGATGGAGGCATAGAATTCCATTGTGTGTATATACCACATTTTCTTCATCCATTCATCTACTGAGGGGCATCTGGGTTGGTTCCATATCTTAGCTATGGTAAATAATGCTGCAATAAACATAGTTGTGCTGGTAGCTTTAGTGTTGTCTTGTTTGTAAACATTTGGTTCCCAGTGAATTTTATTGGGCAACTGTGATATCATGCAAAGGGTGAACTGTGTTCATCTGATCTTCAGTTCATGGCAGAAAACTAGAAATACAAGAGGAAATAGGCTAAGGCATAAGATTATCTAATATTTTTTAATATACTAATCCTTTATTTTGAGAAGAGGTGTAGATATCAGAAAAAATCGTAGAGAGGGAAGGGCTGACTTCTGGATCAACACCCCAAGTTCAATCTACTAATATCGCTCCAAGATCTTTGCCAAGATTCCTCAATGCATTGTCCTTCCAATTTCCTCTGTTTCCCCTAGGATCTCTCTCCACTCCAGGATGGCAGCCATGATCCCCCAGGTCATGGGTCTCCACATTTCCTCAGGACCGTGGACGCAGGTACAGTTTCTCAGACTTCTTTTCTTTATCCTGACCTTGCAGATTTGACAAACAACAAAAACTTCTATAACTTTATGGGGATGGTGTGCGTGTGTGTGTGTGTGTGTGTGTGTGTGTGTGTGTGTGTGTGTGTACAAACAACAGAAACTGATTTCTCTCCTTTGTTCCTTCCTTCCTTCCTTCTTTCTTCTTTCCTTCTTTCCTTCTTTCTTTCCTTCCTTCCTTCTTTTCTTTCTTTTGTAGTTGTTCATGGGGCTTGACCTGGCCCTGGGTCTCTCAGTTCTTTAGCTCAAGGCAAGCGCTCTACCACTTGATCCACAGCACCACTTCCAGCCTTTTCTGTTTATGTGGTGCTAAGGAAGCGAACCCAGGGCCTCATGAATGTGAGCAAATGCTCTACCACTGAGCCACCTTCCCATACCCAGGAACCGATGTCTATGATGTTCAGGAGTGGTGAAATCTAGGTAGTATTGCACTGAGAACTCTTTGGGGCTGTGCCTGGTATAGGCTGTACCTGGGAAGTGGGATGTTCTCTTTGGAGGATAAAGCCATTTTTTTTTTTTGCCTTCCTGGGGCTTGAACTCAGGGCCTGGGCACTGTTCCTGTGTTTTTGTGCTTAAAATTAGTGCTCTACCACTTTAGCGCCAGCTCCACTTCTTTTCTTGGACATAAGAGTCTCTTGGCCTTTGCTGCCTGGGCTTTGATCCTTACTTTGACCCTTACTTCCTGATTAGCTGGGATTACAGGTGTGTGCCACTGGTGCCTGGCTTTTTTTCTTTTCTCTTTCAGTCCTGGGCTTGAACTCTGGGTCAAGGTGGTATTCCTGAGCTTCTTTTGCTCAAGGCTAGCAATCTCCCACTTGAGTCATAGCACCACTGCCAGTTTTTTCTGTTTATGTGATGGCAAGGAATTGAATCCAGGGCCTCACGCTTATGAGGCAAGCACTCTACCACTGAGCCAAATTCCCAGCACTAACTTTTTTTTAGGCTTTCATTTTACTGTAAAGATACTGGACAGAGAGGTTACAGTTACATGAGTAAGGTAATGCTCAGGATTTTGTTGAAGCCATTCTTGTGTTATGTGCTTCCCATGGGTCTGAGTTGTCTGCATTTTCAACACTGAGCAATATTCCATTTTGATCTCTCAACCTGGTTTGGATGATGCAGTCATTTCTCTGTGGATATTTGGGTTTAATTTCCTGGTGCTCTACCGTGTTAGCCACAGGTCTTCAATATCAGAGCTACTATATGGTCCCTATGTTGTAGACAGCAGGAGGGAATGTGGGCTGCAGGCCTGGAGGTTCCAAGGCAGAGCACTGGAAGTGGAGCTCTGGCTCAGATGGTAGAGTGTGAGCCTTGAGCGAAAAACTGAGGGACAGTGCCCAGGCCCTGAGTTCAAGTCTCAGGACTAGCAAACACTTGAATAATATAGCGCTTGATGCATTCCCATACTTACATTTCTTACTGACATTTTTGTGCCAGACCCAGCAGTCTGGAACCCACAGGACATGAATGTCTTGCATGGCATTTTGGGGGTGGTGTCCACCCACATATCCACCCAGGGCCTGGGCAGTGACCCCGTGAGACCTAGGCTGTTTTGCTGTAGCACCCTCTCAGGTCTGATGGGGTCCTTTGAGAGGCGATCTCTCTTCCACTCCTGACTGGGAAAACGTGACCAAAGCCTGCCTAAAGCCCAGTCAATAGCTACAATTTAAAATGTGGTGAGTGAGGAAGCTCATCTCCAGGCTTTGAAAAATCAACACATCCCCATGACCGACAAAAAGAACAACAAACACACAAACAAAAAAACCACCATAGACATTCTTGGGGCTGGGAAGGTGGCTCAGTGGTAGGGTGCTTGCCTTGTATGCATGAGGCCCTGGGTTCAATTCCTCAGGACCACATAAGCAGAAAAAGCCAGAAGCAGCGCTGTGACTCAAGTGGTAGAGCACTAGCCTTGAGCTGAAGATCTAATGGACAGTACCATGGCCCAGAGTTTAAGCACCACGACCGATCAAAAAAAAAAAAATCAACATGTCTACACTACCATAGTAATGGAGGAGGATCAGATTACCTACAGGTACTGGGCAAAAATAAAGTGATTGATCAGGTATCAGAACAGGGAAGAG